ATAGAAAGGACATCACAAAACTGGGGAAAGAGGCAAAGAGCGTTTACAAGGCAAAGCTGGACACACTGAGTTTCACCTGCTTCTGTTTCACCATCGAGGCACCATACATTGCCCCTGACGTCTGAGTGGACCTCTAGTGAAGATTCATTTGATTGAAAAAGAGCAAAACCCACACTTTGACTGGTTAAGTGGAAAAAAAAAAAGGAATTTACTGTCTCATAAACTGAAGAGTTGAGTGGGGTGGCTTGATCTGAGGTCCAAACAACTCCATTAAGTTTCCTCTCCTTTTGGGTGAAAGCCTTCCACAGGATATGCAGGCTCTCAGGCTCATACCACAGCTCCTGGGTCAGGGGGAAAGTGAGGCAATGTCTCAATAATTCAAGCAAAAGCCCCCTCACAGGGTTTTGTTAGCCATGATTGCTCCAGTTGGGTGATGTGTTCATCACTAAAGCAGTCACTGCGGCTGTAAGAATGGAATGTTCTGGAAAGCTCTAGTCTAGATGACATGTGCAATGGGATTTGGAAGTATTTATCAAGTGAGCCACATGGAATGAATGTTGGGAGGGAGTTATTCCCACCAAAGCAAAATCATGAGAAGGGTCAGCTGATGCTGGGTAACAGATGTCCAACAGGAATCCATTACATGGGTGGTGGGGAGATGCTGGTAAAGGTCACCAGAAACCAAGGTCATAGTCCTGAGGGTCCTGAGGGCCTTTCGGTGGATTTAAGAAACTGAATGAGATGTCCACAGGCAGCCCTTGGAGAACTAGATTGAATTCAGGAGGCCAGTCCGGGGCTAATGCAAAATGAGCTCCATACCTCCTGAGTTTATGAAGAAAGGAAATGATGGGAAGGCAAAAACAGTATCTACATTTGACCAGAAGCCAAACCCAAGAGGGGCATATTGGGGTGATGGGGTCAAAAAGGGATTGGAAAACTTTTTGATTTTTAAAAAAAGGACAAAAAATACTTTTTCCCGCATGGGGAATCCAATCTGCAGCCACTCAAACCAAGTGCCTTTGAGGTTTCAATGAATGATTTTTCTTCAGTCGTTATAGCAAGCCTCAGAGCCAGAAGTGTTAGAAATTAGTAAAGAATTTCTGAAGTCTGTAGTTCTGGTGAGAAGACCAGCTGGGGTAGGGGCTTGGGGGCTAGGGATGAAGTCTGACTTGAAAATAGGGGAGGGAATTAGAAACATGATGAGATCGCTGAGACTCTTAGATGATTGACAGTTTGGTTTAGGATCTAAAGTTTATTTTTGTCTAAAAATACATCCCCAACCCATAAAAGTCACACTCTCGTCCTGTAGGATTTCTGTTGTTCATTGCTGATGGCAATCTAAGAGATGTTTTCTCTTTAATGTCTGTGTGTGCAAAATGTCATTCATTCACTCTTTCATTAATTAACCCATTCATTCATTCAATCAACCAACATTACATTGAGGGCTTACTGAGTGAGGATCAATGTTTCATCTGAGGTATGAAGATTTCCCACCCACCATTCCCACAAGCCATCTAGCTGTCAGCCCAGCTGCACATGGATGCCTCCTGGACAATTCAGAGTCAAAATCTCCAATACCAAACTCTTGATACTATCCTCCCACACAAATCCTCTCCTCTTCTTGACTTTTTCATCTCAGCAAATGGTGCCTTCATCTATCAACTGGCTCAAGCTAAAACCTGGGAGGTATTCTCAGCATTTCCTTCTGCTTCCTGCCTAAATCCACCCCAGCATTTGGTAGCCTCTCAATCAATATATACTGACTAAACTGACAGGTGGCTGAATGAGAAGGGGACTGAATGAACAATGCTTTGAGCTGTCCACAGATGCCACTCCAGCCTGCACTATTTCATCCATGTAGGAAAGCGTGCTCGCGTTGTGGAGACACAGCTTGAATAAGTGTACGTCTGAGCAAGGATTTTTACATTTTCAAAAGTCTCGCTATTTCCTGGAAACAGATTGTGTTTCTCTGATTGTCTATTAAGGTTTTTTTTTTTTTAACTGCTGAAGATCTTGGCACCAAACCAAAGCAATCTGCATTTCCATTTTTATATCTTAATTTATAAACTGCACCTTATAATTTACAAGCATTCACTTAGTGTCTCTAACAGAGTCGAAACAAATACCAACTCTGCCAGCGAGGCTACCCAAGTCTTCTCTCCGTACCTTTTCTTATCTTCCTCTCCGTACGTTCCTGTCAGGAACTGTCTAGTCTTTCATGTTGGAAAGCATGGTCTGGAGCCAGCCCCAGTTTGGGGAGGGGAAGGATAGTAATAATGATGATATGTCTCATTTATTAGGGAAGAGAGAAGGAGATCCCATTACCTTGGTTTTATAGATGAAGAATGCCTGGAGATGGGAGTAGGTGAGCAAGAGGCTTGCTTATGAATGGGGGAGGCAGGCCTAGAATCAGTATCTCCGGGAATCCTCATGCCGAGGGTCCTTCTGAGACCCTTGATCAGAGTCTCACCGCCTCAGCACTCAGGAGGCTTTGGGCTGGATAATTCTTTGTTGTGCACCGCGGGATGTTTAGTATCCCAGGCCTCCACCCACGAGAGCGCAGGGGTAACTCATCCCACCGTGACAAGGCAAAACGTCTCTGGACACTGCCAAGTGTCACTCCTGATTGAGGACCACTGGGTTAGACTGTGCCCTTGTCCTTGATTAAAATGGAGGCACAAAGGTTAAGAGGCTCTGTCTCCTTCTACAGACCCTCCTCACCCAGCCCACAGCACCACAGAGGCCTCTGAACAAATCCCAGTCCCTCTGTGCGACATTGGGTGCTTTACAGTCTTGATCACACTTAACTCCCAAAGTGGGATACAACTAACTCACATTTTACAGGTGAGGAAATTGGGACTCAGAGAGGCCATAAACTTGCCCACAATTACACAGCAAGTGGCAGGCTGGAATGCTAACCCAAAGCTGTCTAGTCTGCGGAAGGAGAGATTACCTCCCCCACCCACCCTCCCTGCTCTGCAAATTTTCTTTTCCTGGGGCATCAGAGAAGCCTCACCCACGCTTCTCCGTGAAGGAGTAGCCTATCTCTCTGAAGGCAGCCGTCTTTCAGGCATGCAGGATACACACCCATGATTGCAGGTCCATGGCCCACCGACCTCCCTAGGGGTGTGTCCTAGCCCTGCGCCTGCTGAGTAAAGCATTTGTGGAATGCGTGCCAACACAGCAGCGAGGGCTGGACACATCCAGTTCTGGAGTATGAGCCTCCTGGCTGTGCCCTGTGTGACCTTGGGCAAGAGGAAAACAGCTCTGAGCTCAATTCTCCCATCTATAAAATGGGAAGAGCCATTTCTCAGAGCAGCTGCTGTGAGAATTAAATGATTATAAATGTGGACTAGTTCACATCAGTGCTAGGTGCTGGAGAAACGGTGACCTGCATGAGCATCCTACTTCTCCCATGAAATTTACCTGCAATATACTCACTTTCAACCTAAAGGGTTAACCTTTAGATAAATCTGTGACCCGCAGGGACCGTATGGAGTTACTCTTGAGGGCTATCTGCCCAGCAGACTTGCAGCTCCCTGAGGATCCCTGACCTGTCCTTTTGTCCCCTCACACAGCAGCTGACCCTTTGTGCTCAAGACGATTGCTTAAGAATTGATCGTATTTGATGATTCCTTAGATAACACCCTTTTGCATTGGGTACTGCCTTTTCTGGGTATGTATGAGTACAAGAAATGGTTTTCCTTGGCTAGCAGACTGGTGATGGTGCCCTTGATGCTCTACGCCGAGCAGTTAGGGCTATTAGCCATTTTCTTTGATTTCCCAGTTCCCACTAACTTGTGGCAAGATTCTAGCTGAGTGGTATCAAGCCTGCTGAGTAGAAAAGGGGTTCCGTGGGGCGTGGTTCCCAGGCCCAGGGTCCAATCCCCATCTCTGCCCAGCTGTTTACTCCACCATCAGCCAATGACTGAGGCTTTCGTGCCTCAGTTTCCCCATCCTACGTTAGGACTATTAATAAGACCTGCCTCAAAAGGTGAGGAGATTAAACATACAGTGACTAGAATGTATCATACCCGCAGTCTCTTCATCCCTGTCCGTTAATTGGGGTGGGTGGGGTGCCCGTGAGCGTGCTGAGCGAAGGAAAACTCCCGCAGGCTCTGTGGCTCTGTAGCAAGCAGCTGGCAGACCCCAAAGAAGCAGGGGTGCTCTGCTGAAACTGCTCTTCGTTCTATGTCCCTTTAGCAGGGAAAGGTGCTTGGCTTCTGTAAGCCCAGGTGCTGCGGGAACGGTGCCAGAACCCACGGCTCCACCGCAAAATACAAGCAAAGCATCCCCGCCCAACTCAATGGTAGCATCCACTTAATTTTTTCTCTTAAAAATGAATAAAATAAAGGCTGCTCAAAATTCTGTACTCTTCAAAGCACCCGAGACGAAGTCTCCCTTCCCAGTCAGTAATCAAGCCAGTTGCCCTGGCCTCACTTTTTTTTCTGGCCTCACCTTTCGGCCCGGGTGCAAGGAGCCTTGTAGCCCTGTGCCAGCCCCAAACGATTTGGCGCCCGCGTTGGGGCTGCGGGGCCCTGCTCCCCGCGCCTGGGCCAGGCCCCCAGGGGGTCGCCGCCCAGGGCGGCCCCTCCCCCGAGGTCACCCAACTTTCGCCTCTCCGCAGCTCCTGGGAGGGTGCGGGCGTGTCCCGAGCCCGGGCCGGGCGGGGCGGGCCCTACACGCGGCGGGCGGGCACCCGCCCGGCAATATTCATTGGCCCGAGCGGGCTGCGGCCGCGATGCTGATGTCAGGCGGGCGCGAGTGCGGCGGGCGCAGCGGCGGCGGCCGCCCAGCAGCCCGGGCGCGGGTGGGGGGGCGCCGAGTGGGGGCGGCGGCCAGCATGCTGCTCGGCTGCGGCTCGGCCTCCCACACCCGCGGCGGCCTCGTCCTCACCAGCAGCGGCGGCGGCAGCGGGGGAGCAGCGAGCGGCGCGCGCGTCTGCAGCGGCGCAGGGTCCGAGCGCGCGGCGCGGGGGCGGGGGTCGCGGCCGGGGCGGGGCCCGGGGACCCGGCATGGCACTGCGGAGGGGCGGCGGCGGGGCGCTGGGGCTGCTGCTCTTGCTGGGCGCCGCGTGCCTGATCCCGCGGAGCGCGCAGGTGAGGCGGCTGGCGCGCTGTCCCGCCACTTGCAGCTGTACCAAGGAGTCCATCATCTGCGTGGGCTCCTCCTGGGTGCCCAGGATCGTGCCGGGCGACATCAGCTCCCTGTGAGTGAGTGGGACCCCCTCCGTCCCCTCGCCAGCCTGCGTCCGCCGCCGCCAGAGGCGCTGGGACCGCGCGACCCCGACCCCTCTTCCCAGCCCCTTTCCTGGCGCCTGGGAGGGGGCGCGCTATGAGATGGGGGTGGAGTCTCAGTCCTGGGAAGGTGGAGGGAACTCGAGACCCAGAGTCTGGGAACCTAGGCAAGGCGCTGTGGCAGTGTTTTTCAAAGTGTGGCCCGCGGGCCACCTGCATCAGACCCATCTGGGGGAGCTTGTACCAATGCAGATTCCTCGGCCCACTTTAAATGAAGCAGGGACTCAGGAGGGAAGCCTTGGAGGCTGGCTTCCCCAGATGATTCTGGGGTGCGCTAAACTTTGAGAGGATGTGTGTGTATGTGGGGGGTGGTTTGCAGGCGCGTGTATGTGCACTGAGCATGACTGGAGTGAGTGCAAAACTGGGGAGGGGTAAAGCCTCCCTGTTCCACCTCAGGTCTGGGCAGTGGTTTACACCCTGGCTTCCTCGGAAACTGTCCACACTGCAGGTTGGGAAGAACCTGGGGAAAGGCGTGCAGCCACTGGCAGGGAGAGGGTGGGGGGAATGCCCTATGTGGCCTGGGATAGGGGAGCACAGAAGGCTTGATAGCTCTGGGGCTTATGGGGCACCCAACCCGGTGGCCAGGTGGAAGCCAACCCAACTTCTTGCCCTGAGCTCACAGGGCTTCTTGACCCCTCTCCCCACCATACATGTTTTTCAGCACTGGAAAAATGGATGGGAAGGCACTCATTATTTATCCATCTACCCAAGTTATTTATCTAAGTGCTAAGAGATGCTTTCAACTGCCCTCACACAGCCACTCAAGCCACATGACCAGCTCTCATAAGGGCTGTGGAAGGGGCTGTATCTTTACTGCTGGGAAATGTTTCTGGCTGAAACAGCTCCCCTATTCCAGACCAAGGTGCTGGGGTGATGCCTACTCAATTGCAGAGGCAGGGGATCCCAGGGGTGACACTGCTGATATCAAGGGCACTTTTTCTTCTACTATAATCCCCTGCTTCCCACCCCCAGACAAGGGGCCAGGGCTTGGACACAGGAGCCAAGGGGTTCCCATTTGCATTTATAAAAAGTCACAAAAAGCTTTTTTGATCCCTAATGTTGCTAAGTCGGGTGACATGGAGGGTTCCAGAACTTAGAGTTCCCCTTGTCACATCCTTAGACCAGCAGCTGCTTAAACAATCTGCGTGTTAACTGCCATAATTCTGAGATAATGTGTTGAGGTCCTGCTGTGACCAGAAAGGATAGGGGTGCCTGGTGGAAAAATAAGTCAGGCGTCTTGCCCCTGCATTGACTTATATCTGGCAGATGGCATAACCTCCTATGGCACATTCAAGTTCAGGTGTCCTGAGTTTTCCCCCAGGGCTTTCACGGTGCTTTTAATCAGAAATGCTCTGAGTGTCTTTCAGAGATGTGCTCCCAAGGGGAATGATTAATCGTACCCTGGAGTTTCTTTGGCCAACATTAACGCTGTATCTACACAAACAGAATCATGGGCAGAGATGAAGTAATTACCCATTTTCAGCGAGGGCATCCTGTAGTTAAGAAAAGGAAGTGAGGGGATTGATTTAAACTGGCTGAGATAACATCTGTGTAAGGAGCTAGACTGATGGTAAAGTTTCCTATTATTCAGATCAGTTTTCATATTGATGCTCTTCTAGTGCCGCCCCCTAAGAAGCTCCTGGTAAGTTGTAAGTCATTGCTGAGTGGAGTTGGAAATACAAGTGGAAGATGAGACTGATTACCTATCCTGCCCTTGCTTCTAAAGGAAACCTAGGCCTCGTTTTGTTCCTCTTTTGCCTGTAGGAGCCTGGTAAATGGGACATTTTCGGAAATCAAGGACCGAATGTTTTCACATCTGCCTTCCTTGCAGCTGCTGTGAGTATGGGAAGTTCTCTGTGCAAAGGGGCCGTTGGACGTGCAGTTCTGGGAGGTGGCATCTTTTCCTCTTGGTTATCAGTTCTTCCTGACATGCCCAAGTAAACCAGGTCTGGCTCTTAGGGCAAGAGGAACTTGCCCTATGGTGAGGGCACCTTGGGTCCCAAGCCTCTTTATGCAGTGTCCTTTCCTTCTTTTGGCGCATGTTTTCCTCAAGGACTTCATTGTTGGTCCCAGCACCCATATCTGGCAACTGGGGACATGATCCCATTGACTTGCAACCTGAATTTCACCTAAATGAACTGTTTTCCAAATACCTCACTTTAAAAGAAAAATCTACATTTTGAACTCTTCATGTTACTCCAGAAACAGTATTTCTAGTTGCCTGAGTTTGGAAACTGTGGGTCAAAAGAGCAAACCCATATATATGCAAAATTTTATGTAATCATCCTATCATTCCTTATTTCCCCATTTGATAGATGAGAAAACTGAGGCTCAGGGAAATTAAGTTACTTGCCCCAAATACCAGCCAGAATTCTAACCCCCCTCATAACTGCTCTGCATCCCTGCCAATCTAGGTGAGTACCACGTGGTGCCTGGTAGCCCAGGTCAGTTAATAGTTGCTGATGAAAGAAATGTCCAAAGAGCAGTTTTTAAAAGCAAGTCAGTGAGAGGTGAAGTCATGGGTGTGTAGCTCATTCTCTTTATCTGTATTGGTTTCTCCAATGTGAGATGGGATCAAACGAAAAGATCAAGTACCATACTATAGAGAAATAGGAAGAAATGGAATGTGGGCCATCACTGCTCATCCTGAATAAACTTAATGTTGGTATTTTTTTCTCAAAAGGTTGTGTACCTATTTATAACATTATATACTTAATACTTAAAATTAGTAATATCTTAGACATTGTGGTATCTATTAAAATAGACTTCATATGAAGAAAATAAAATTTCAGGTATTTCATCAAATAGACTTAAGTGGTGACTCATGGAAAACTGCTAATAAAGAGTCTTCTGAAGATTTCTTAAACTCTTATTATTTCTTATGGGAATGTGGGAAATGTAATAGAAAGGTTTGGGTTTTATTTGCATGTTTTTTGGTGATTTTGGTCAAGTCACTTAACTTCTCTGGGATCAAATTTCTTTAAAAATGGAGTTGTATTAGATCTTTTTAGATCTCTAATTCCATGCTTTCTTGTGCATCATAAAGCATTTATTGGCTGGTTAGCTGTATTGAGCATTAGAATATTTTGAAATAACAGCTATCAGGTCAGATTTACTGGGACCCACAGGAGAGAAAGGGTGGGACGTGGAAGTGACCAGGAAATCTAGCCAAAAGGAATCACTTGCCTTTGTCCATCGGCATCTGTGAGTCAAGTTGTGAACCTGAAGGGCCAGTGTCAGGCCCGTGTTTGCCCACAGTTCAGAACAGCAAAAGAAACAGAAAAAGCTTCACTGTGTGACTCAAGTTTTATGTCTGCATTGAAGTCTGTGCTTTATTTTCAGACTGCTGAATTCTAACTCATTTACAGTCATCCGGGATGATGCTTTTGCTGGACTTTTTCATCTTGAATACCTGTAAGTTTTACACTTTGTCCATTTGCTGAGCATTCAGTGTGTAAGTGGAATTGATATATTGCTTTCCAAGCTGGGACAGCATCTCTTAGAGAGCTTATGGGTGGAGAAAATGCAGAAAACCCCATCTCTTTTCAGCGCTGACCTTTGTAGTTTACTTGTGTATAAACATGCTGGGACAGGAGGAGGTTGGAGACAAAGAGAGAAAGGAAACAAAGAAGGAAAGATTCATTCATTCTCTGCTGACATTTAATTTGTCATGCAGTAAGCACAATTGGAAATTGCGTTGGATATTTTTACCTCTTATAACTCGGCATGGACTTGCTGATCAGCCAGAAATAAAGCTAAAGGATTCTGAGGGTAATTTATTTTTAAATCAAGTCTCCTTATTTGGGGATACAACTTCATGTTTTTAATGCAACAGTCCTGTATCCATTTGTAATCTCTCCTGAAAGCAATTGATGAGGGTCTAATTTATTTTTTCTCCTTTAAAAAAAAAGGGTTATTTTTCCCTTTTCAGATGTGTAGTTTTTCTTTTTCCCTAGCAATGAGCTTTACCCTCGCTCAGATTTCATTTCTAGATTTCTTTTCTAATTCTCCTTTTCCCCTTTCATGTCTTTGTTTCCCCTTAAATTCTTTCATCCTTGTCATTTGTAACTTTGTAATAATTAATCCTGTTATCAGTGGGATTTCCCTACTTAGCATTCAGAGGGATGTTAAAGATTTGTCTCTGCTTTCTTATCTGAGGTTAACAAGTAGATGTTTGAATTCAAAATATACCCTCAGTCTAAGAAGGCTCTGCTGATTTTCTATCTTCAGGAAAGAGGTTTCTGAAGGAATTGTTTCTCCAGAGCACATGTAATATGTATACTCTAATAATACACTGATATTATACATAATATACAGAGTGTGGTGCAGCTGAGATGTTGAGTCAAACTAGTTTCTGTCAAAGCACAGAAACAGCCACTGGACGTTAGCAAATGTAATGCTATCCATTTTCTCTTATGAGCAGCTCATCTTAATACCAAGGTTATTGAGGAGGAAGTTTGTTTGCCTATCAGTTTATTCTGAAGGCTATTACTGAACAGACTCCTGATTTTTAAAAAACAGACATCAGAAAGCTATCAGGACGAGAATGAGGAACTATCTCACTAACGGCATCATGTTGCAAAGCCTCTCCCTGGAACTGTCTGTCATCAAAGACCCTCTTACATTTGACATCATGTGATGCAGTAACGTAAAATTTAATTCTCAGTGGCCCTAGGGAATACTGCTAACCCATTTGCTTCATGTATTTCCCACAAAGACTGTAAAGCGTGAACAGAGTTATTACTGCAGGGTCCTGTGTACAAACAAGCCCTAAGATGTCTTTGCCCAGAGAGAGAAGTTTGGCCCAGACTCAACTTCATTACACTTCTTATTTCCTACTGGCTGACAGATCTTGAGAGTGTCCCTGCTTTGTCACCCTTTGTGCAGAGATTAGACTGTGTAGGACATGATGAACTCAAGTTTGCCAGAAGCTAAGCTTAATGGAATTCTCTTTCAGCAAAATCTTTAATATGGAGATATAAAACAATGGGCTCCCGCAAGGGACGAAGTTATTTGCAAAAGTATTAATAGTCGGGCACTGTGAAATGTAAGAAGGTTTGAGAGGGGAAAATGTCTGGAAGCATTCCAGTCTTACAGAGACTGGAGAATTCCTTGTCTTTGTGTATGTAGTGCTTTCTTTCTTTTTTTTCCGAGATGTTTTTCAGCCAGCTCTGAATTTGAAGACTTCCATGCGGCTTTAGGAAGGCGTGCAGAACACACATTTGTGCTCATGCATTCCTGCACACACACCCAGCTCCCATTTGGAATCTGGTGTAGCTGACCTTGTCTTCAGAGATGAATTTTTAAAATTCATGAATTCTTTTGGATTTTATTCTGAAACCATGCCAATATCATTTTTCAGAGCTACTAAGCAGAGAAAATTCATTTTAATTATACTGCTGTTTCTCCTTAGGTTCATTGAAGGGAACAAAATAGAAACCATTTCAAGAAATGCCTTTCGTGGCCTCCGTGACCTCACTCACCTGTAAGTGCTATTGAAAAGCATAATGAGTCCTTTACTGTATAGAGTAAGATTCACCTCCTGGTGCTTCTCTCTCTTAACTGTTTTGTGCATATCGTAACATTCTCTCAAGGAAATAAATTTTCAGGCTGTGCAAGAGGCTTCTACGTTCGTCATCAGACACCAGCCCACTGTGCTTACTCACACACTTGGTTCTATTCTCTTTACGATTATCCTGAACTGCCATTCTGGACCACAGGACTGCTGTGCAGTAGGGGAGGTCTATGTCCAGTGATGGTGGAAGTGGGAAGGAAGCTAACACAGGTATCATGCACCTACTGTGTGCCAGGCACAGGGCTGAGTGCTTAGTGTACTTTCTTCTTTACCTTCCATGATAATTTGTGAGTCTCCATTTTATAGTTTTGGGAACTGAGGCTTCAGTGACTCAGAAGAATTTTGAAAGTGGAATCAAGTTTAGGATGAAGTGGAATAGAGACATTTTTGTGGTTCCTCTAATTTGAATGCAAATGGCTTTTTCTTTTATGTTGGATTAATCTGTGGCTTAAGCTAAGCTCTCTGGGTTCTTTAATAGCTTTTTGGAGAAAAAAGTTTTCAACAAATTGATTTGAATTGGCATATCAGAATAAACCAAGTACACACACTTAGCAAATTTAGAAAACTGGAAAAAGTAGTGCCTGTGTTTATGAAAATGGAAAAATCGTCATTGTTTTGGTAGGAGCAGTTTATTAAGCAGCAGCCAGATCCCTTTTGCATCATAGATATTTTGTGTTTGAGTAAGATAACCTGCTCATCTCCGTAATCAGCCTGGCCGCAGTAAAAAGAAAACTGGGAGGATTGGGGAGCTTTGAATGGGGTTTTGGGTGCCGGGTGTGTGTGTGTGTGTGTGTGTGTAACCCTCAGTGTGTGTAACCCTGACTGATACAGTACCAAAGAGATGTTTCACATCAAGCCCTGTTATAAACAAAGGTACCTGTCAACAGGCTCAGCGAGCACTTGACTCTGGCACCACAGGAAGCAGAATCCTACTGAGTTAAAGCTGGTAGAGTAAGGAGATGGGGAGCAGAAGTGGGAAGCCCAAATCTGGATCAGTAGTCACTTGCAGAGAGTGTCAGACTCTTACTGAAATTATTGCCCTGGGTTTTCCTTTCTTCCTATAAAAACCTTGAATTATTTGGTTTTAAACTTCAACCCAGAAGCCAAATCCCCACATTCCTAGAGAGGCTAAGACATTGGTCTTAGAGTCATGAAGATTTTGGTTCACATCTCTTAGCCTTCATTTATTGATAGAGCTTAGCCTTTTTGAACCTCAATGTCATCATCCTTAAAATGGGAGTGATTATACTGACCTCATAGGATTGGTGCACATACTGGTCTCTGCTTGCTGGCAAAGCATCCAGCCGATTGCCCGTGGTAGATGCGCAAGGTGTGGTTATCACCATTGCTGTCATTATCATTCCCTTCCCCACTCATTAAGGAGCCTCAGTCTTCTCCGTGGACTGCTGAGTGGCCCTGGCAGTTTGGGTGGTCAGAGAAAGTCTGCTTAGAAGACAGCTGTGGGTGTCTGGAGAGGAACAGCTGTGGCCAGATACAGTTCCCAGAAGTCAGGAAGGAGGGGCTTTGTTTTCCAGCAAAGCCTGAGTAGATTATGAAGTTAACACAAAGCCCATGTGACTGGTTGAGGTAGCCCAGATGTCAACTTTTGTTTGATCAATTGGCTATGGATCCCTGGTCTGAAAGCAGGTGTGAACATGCAGGTATTTTTGTACGTGTGTGCCCATGGAGGCATGGACTTCTATATGTATTGTATGTAACTGTGTGTGCATGCTTATACATTTGCACATGCAAACATATGTGTATATCATGTAAGGATATGTGTTCAGGGTCACCTCCTACACTGAGTGACATGCAGGAAGCGCACACAGAGAACAAAGGAGTCCTCGGCTTTGGTCCAGAGCACATCTGATGCATCAGTACAGCTCTTCCAGCGTGTACTGCCATCCAACAGTCACACCCATGGGGCTCCCTCCCCAGCTCTCCAGTCTCATGTCCCTAAATGTCCTCAGAACACTGGGCTCTCAGTGGGTTCCATTCACAGCCATCTCATCCATTACCGAGCTTTCCCTTACATCCTTTCTGTACCTGAACACTGTCCCTTCTGCCTGCAATCTCCTGGAATCTGCTTTTCCTTCGAGGTCCAGATTAAGTTCTATCCCCACAAGGGGCCACTCCTGACCTCCCCTCCACCCTTCCTCTAGCCCTCCCTCTTGGCTCCACATACCCAAGCACTTTACCGTAGACACTGGCCATAGGGGTTGGTGCTGTTTCATGAATGTTGGTTTTAGCAGCATTGAAAGCTCTGTGATGACAGGGCCTACGCAGATCTTCCATTAGCTCTGCCTTCCCCAGCTTCTAACACAGGGGTACGCCGGCTAGACCCTCTGATTCTCTGGTTGACTGATGGATTCTATTTTCTACATGTACTCTACCAGTGGGCAAGTAGGGTGACATTTAAAGTTTAGTCCTCTAGGCTGGAGATGTATGTAGTAATTAAAGCACTTAATACATTGTTAAAGGAATGAACTGATCTTCCCAGCCCCCATTTTTTGTAAACTTTTAAACAAAGAGAACACATCAGCTCTTTGAAGTTCACTCCTATATTTAAGGAAGTCACTATCTGGAATTTGCTTGTTTAAGGATTTGATTCATATCTTTCATGAACTTTTCCAACACCTACAGAGTCACATTCATATGTCAAGAAACTCTGATCAGGTTTCAAAGCATTGAAGGAGCAGTGCCAATCTGTAACTAAAATCTAGGACATTTGTTTCCAGCAGTTGTATAAAGCCCAAGGGACAGGTTGCTGTTAAATAGTTGTAGACATGAAGAAAGTGCCATGAATATGTAGACAAAATGAAGTGGAAAGTGCGACCTTATGTTGTGACTGTGAGCAGGGTGGATAGTCCATCTAAATAATTTCTGAAATCAAAAATGAACACTTGGAATGGTAGCTAAACATTATGGTTTTTTGGTCTTGATCATTCTGTATATTCTTATCACTTCAATACAGTACATTTCAATTAGCTAAACATGTTTAGCTAAATAATTAACCTTTAATTAGCTAAAAAAGATTGTACTTTACTTTCCAGAAGTAACTCAACTAGAAAAAAAACCAAGACAAATATTCCCTTTTTTAATTCAAAAAGCTACCTCTAGAGTATGTTCAGTGTGATTATAATCAGCCCATTTTCCAACATCTTTCAAAATGTATCAATAAGTTATTTAGGAAAGAAAGGCAAAATGATACATGAAATTGTATTTTAATCCATTTGTGGTTAGCTAGATGGGAAGGGATATAATTCAGAAACTCTAGATGTCCCCATATTCTGTTGTATTTTGCAGCAAGAATGTTTGGATTAAATATGGGCTCATAGCTTTCTATGTTAGCCGAATCTACAGAGAAACACCCATTTCTTTAATTCCTCTTTCTGGGATGGGTCATTATGATGCTTCAAAAGACTAATTTCATGTGTATTTTTAAAGAGGATGGTGGTGAATTGCCTACATGTTGTCATTTGGTGTTTTTTTTTTTGCTGTTTGTACTCACATGTGTAAAAGAAAATAAAAGTCGGCATCAGTTTCTTGGCTGACTCGCATTGGAGCATGGTGCCTGGGGGAAAGAACAGACTTGGTGGACATCATTTTAATGCCCAGCATCTTTCCATTGCCAACTGCCCAGCACCATGGACACTTATTCTCAGCAGGATGATGACAAGGCACTGCATGATCCTGAATCACCGGAGAAAGAGTTGATGATGTTCGTTCAGGTCTACTTCCTGCAGATGGGGAGTGGACTAGGACACTTTAGAAAGATCTTCAACACTAAGAGCAAAATTTCAAAGTGGTTTCTGATCAACCTTTGTTAATGAGAAAACAATCACAATCAGTCATTTCCTAAACATTGTGTTTCCTTCAGATTTTATATTATCATTGGGGTTAAAGCTCAGAGTTTTAATGTAAAAGATTTAGTCTAATCCTTTCTTAGAGTCACAAGTAATAGAATTCACTTAGGTGGACCTTTAGGGAACTTCTTGAGATGAGACTGTACATCTTTCTTTTATCATTTTCCTCTTAGTGCATCACTCATTCATTCAACAAAGACTTGCTGCCAGGCAGTATTCTGGATGCTAGAGATACAGATGTGGACAGACAAAAATCTATGTCCTTGTGTTGCTTCCATATGGGGGGAATACACAGCCAATAAACAAATAGATTCTTAAAATACACGGTTTGCCAAGTGACAGTTGTGCAGTAAAGACCAACGGAGCAGGACAAGGAGATGTGCAGAGGTAGGGAAGGTGGGGATAGTTGAGGACAGAGGTGATAGACGAGCTGTGTAGCTATCTGGGGGAGCGCATTCAGGCAGATGAACAGTAAGTTCAGAGGCCTTGAGGTCACAGTGTGCCTAGTGTGTTTGAGGAATAACAGAGGGGTCACCAGTGTGGGTGATCTGAATAGACAGATTCAGTCCCATAGGTAAGTGGGAATGGTGCTAATTAAACAATGGAGAGACTTGTGTGCCATCCAAGGGACTTTGGCCTTTATTCTGAGAAACATGAAGTGTCACCAGTGGTTTAACAAATGTAAATAAAGAGCTAATAAGTGCTTCTTTTAAGAACAAAACAAAAACTTACATTGTACTCCAGCATCTATAATGTTATCTTTATATAGCTAAACTCATTTCTTTATCTCAGTATCAATGATCAAAGTTAGAAATTGAACCACATTGTGTTGAAGAGGTTTAGAGTTCATATCATTAGCTTCGTTTAAGGAACTTCAGAGTGACAGGGCATGAAGATAATAACCACATTAAAGTGTGACTTTCTTGTTCTAGTTCTTTGGCCAATAACCACATAAAAGCACTCCCAAGGGATGTCTTCAGTGATTTAGACTCTCTGATTGAACTGTAAGTAATGAAAATTAAGTTTATGTGTGCTTGTCACTGTGCCCTGGTTAATCATGTCTTTAAATCCCTTCTTCCCCTTTATTGCATTTCTTTATGTTGCAGCTAAAACTCTGTGACAAAGAGTGCTTAGGAGAAGAGAGCATGTACTTTGTATTGTGTCGGATTTTGCCCTTTTAGAATATACTTTGTAGCATTAGGCCAGTGGTAAACTAGGCTTGCTGGGTGTGAGAGCTCCTTTCTCTGAGATGTGCTAGTGTTTGTCACTTCTTGCTGGACATACTTTAACAAGGTCTTAGTTTTAACTGTGTTCTTAAAATGTCTCCTTTCGTTTTCAAGAACCTGTGTTGGATGGTCTTCTTCTGTCATCCTGCCCCTTTTCCAAAATGGCATGGTGACAATTTCAAAAGAGTTTGGAGCAATGATGATCTTAGCTCTGACAGCTCTGCAGGCTATACAGTTAACATCATGGGCACTGAAGATCCTTAAGTAAAGTTGGTGAAAAGTATAAGAAATAGGATACATTAAATATAAATTTTTTTTTAAATCCCAGTTTTGGGGTTTTTTAAGTATATCAGGATATTAATAATTCTGGAGTTCCGTGATTCTTCCAGAACATTTCATGTCTATTTCTCTGTGTATGTGTTTGTTTTGTTTCTTAGAGATTTACGGGGCAATAAATTTGAATGTGACTGCAAAGCCAAGTGGCTGTATCTGTGGTTGAAGATGACAAATTCTACCGTTTCTGATGTGCTGTGTATCGGACCACCAGAGTATCAGGAAAAGAAGCTAAACGATGTGCCGAGCTTTGACTACGAATGCACAACTACAGGTATTCAGAACTTGTATCATGGAAGACTATTGTTAGAATAATCCCTTTGTTTTTCTTTTCAATTGTCAACAGAGAGTGGAGAAAAGTGGGTGTAAAAGTTTTCTATCAAAATTATTTCAGGTGAAATTTAAGCATTTTAAAAGAAATTATTTGGATCGTTCATTGCCCTGGCTTTCATTTTGATTCTTGACAAAATTCAAATTTCTCTAAACATATTTTTTAAATGTCCATATATAAACCAGTGAGTTTGTCATAAGAACATTTTTAGATGGGTCTAGGTTCCCTGGAAAGCCAGGGCAGAGGGGCCTAAATTACTGCTCTCTTGGTCTGCTGTTGTCATTTGAATAATAGGAAGTGTGTTAAAAATTCAGCTAATAAATGCGAGATGTAAAAATCTGTAAATTGCTTCTGTAGGAAAGAGTAAACTGTAAAAAGAGATAACTAGGTAACTTATAACCAATGGCAATATAGAAATGGAAGTTAACAACTAATTAAAGAAAATCTCACATTGAGGAAAATGTGAAGAAAGTTTGATTTTGTTTTCCAGAGCCTGCATCAAGGCTTCAGTTCATACATTTTTCAGGTTATAAGATAAAGTTAAAATACCAACTGCCTCAACTGTCACTTGTTGAGAACAGATGAGTGTCTCCATATGAAAGGCTTCAATGGAGTTTCTACAGTTTCTAAAGACAGATTTTTAAGGAGAGCGGATTCTCTGCAGTATGACCCCTATTTATCCGACTTATCAAAATAAGCATTTAGGCTGAAAGTTGATATCTGCAAAGCCTCAAGGCATGTCAGTAGGAGCAGCAAGAATGGAACTCAGAAAACAATTTCAAAAACTCAAAAGGCAGAAAGACTCCAAGAACAAGATGTGACATTTAGGCCAGTCCTGTTGCTGTCCTCCAAAGACAAAGAAAACAAAAACTCACAAAGTAAAAATTGTTTCTAGATATCTTTGTAAATAAGGGACTTTACAAGTTCAGTTCTTCTCTGAGAGAAAACCTGAAATCTTATGGAAATGCCCTTGTCTTTCACCGTTGACCAGGGCTTATTCAGCTGTGTAATTGGCAGGTGCCCTTCAGTCAGCTGAGGCCACTAGCAGGTTATTTATTGTACTGTAGAGCAGCGCAATAAATCAGAGGTCAGAGTCAATGACATTTGCACCAAAAGATGGCATTCAAGGCCCTTTGGGACGGTGCTGAACCCAAGCTCACTGTTGCTCCTCTCTGCCTCTTTCCCAGATTTCTGGAGAATTCTCTAAATCCCAAAGTGAAGCAAGCAGCTTTTCTGTTGTCCTATTCACACTTGGCCTTAGTGTCAGAAAACTGCTAATCTCTGGGAGAAATGGCATGGGCTGTAGAAAGCCTGGGAAGTGGGAATAATTTATAAGAGAAAACATGATTTTTGACTTTAGAGCCCTAGGGAAGGTTATGGAAGTGATCAGGGCTCTGAGAATTTTCATTGCAATGGAGGGGACTTGGAACAGAGGGGTTTGCAGTGGAGCCAGGTTCTGAAACTGTTGGGCATGAGAGCCCCCTCACACATTTCAGGGCATTCTCTCTCACTACATCTGTCTTTGCTAAAATGTTTCCTACTGAAATTTAGAAAGTTGGCACTACTCCCTGGTTAACAGGGAGATGATGATTTTTTCTGTTACATTATCTTATCCTTGTAAGACTCATGAACAAATTAGTTCCTGCTCAGTTTCTTCCACTGAGAAGAAATGGTGCTACCCTGTTGTGATCTACTCCCAAGTACCATCCTGTGTGAACTAGGTCAAAAAATTTGTGAGTTTTTTTGGTTCCTATATTCTGCTCAGATCAAGCCTCATCCTTTGGTGCTTTGTAAAAGGCTGGGAGGGAAATATGTGAGGAGGGATGGATAGCAGAATCCGAGAGTCTTGATACTGTTATGACATCCTCACTAAAGATGGGGGAAGGAGCACATTTCTGAGTGCTTTTTTTTTCTCTTAGTTCAGATTTTCAGGTAAATTCTTTAGGTCGGAGGAGAAGAAGGCACAGTTCTTCCCAGGGAGAGGAGGATATACTGTTATCATTCTGTTCTGGCACAGAGGTGTAATTAACACCACAGAGCCACCCTGGACTGTTCAGCTCTCTAGATTAATCACAGTAACCCTCCACTCAAGTCTATTTTTAACCATCTCAAAAATCCCTGTTACCTACTCATGATTCCCTGTGTTGGGTGGATAATTCACTAAATTCCTTAGAGGGAGTGAATTTTGCATCCTAATTGTCCTGTTAGCTTCCCTATTTCAGGGCTGATGAAAATGCAAAGAGAAATAATGCATTAATGTACAGTTTCTCTCCCAATAGGATCAGCATCATGTATAATTTATTTTCTGCAAGTGCTATAAATAGCTATGTAAAAATCTGTTGACTCCAGTGGGAGCAAGGCCTAAATTGTAAGAGTCCCACTGACATCATGAACTTAATCCAGTGTGCATGCAAGTGGCAGCACTTTAGCAGAGAATGCTATTAATACTTTAACACTAGTAAAGGGAGATCATACCAACATGTGCATTGTTTGAGGTCCTTCCACAGTGAATGTGCTTCTGCCATTTGTGAAGAATACATGAAGATGGGGATGGGAGAAGATACTTAAATTCTTCCTGCCCCAAACGCATATTGACATCAATCACTTCCAGCCATTCCTTTCTCTTCTTCTCTTCTCCTTCCTTCTCTTCTTCCTTCTATCTTAAGGGGGCAAGAGTCAGGAGAAGGGGTCTCCTGTTAGAAATTAGATTTATAATTCCAATGATTTAACAGTCTGTGTTGTGCCAGATAGCCAGTTTATGGAAGATGTTATGAAGCAAAGGTTTGGGGAAATAAATGAAAATGGGACCATTAAAGGCTAGATGTGTAAAATGCTAATTTGTAGCAGCTCTTTTACATTATGGGGTTCTTTAGTAAGAAAACAAGCTTTTTGGTCTTCTTTTTTCAGAGAAGGCTTCTGTTGCTGAGAATTCAGAGTGCAGGTGGGAGACTAATGAGAACAAGGGGCCAGTGGGTTACAGCCATTGCAGGAGTGTCTGGAACCTTCCTCAGACTTGAATGTGACCAGCACAACCAGAGATGGAGGAGTTTGATTGTAACTATCTTGATTGTAATTAAAAGAATGCAGCTGTATTCTCTAAGTCCTTTTCTATCCTAGAAAAGGAAGCAGACAATGACTGCTACCATTTCCCTTTTTCCATTTATCTGCATGTGAACACAGAAACCTCAAAGCCTTCTGTAGTCAGCAAGCGATCTTTGGCTTCTACATGGTTCTGCCAGTGCCAACAAGAATGAACCAAGGATGAATTTTCTGTTTTAGTTCTTGACAGAGCAACACTGGCATTTTGGGGGCTTGGTAAAGGAGTGGGGCTCATACTCTAATTGTTACATGGATCAAACTACTGTGACGTTACCCTAGGTGAGGCACTGTGTTCACATTTATAGAGTAAGATATGCGGAGATATTCTGCGTTTGGTTCCAGATCACCACAATAGAGCAAATGTCACAATAAAGAGAGTCAAATGAAATGTTTTGGTTTCCCAGTGCAGATAAAAGTCAATCTAAGTGTGTAATAGCATTGTCTAAAAAAACAAGGTACATACCTTAATTTAAAAATATTGCTAAAAAATGCTAACCATCATCTTAGCTTTCATCAAGTTGTAATCTGTTTTGCTAGTGGAGGGTCTTGCCTCGAGGCTGATAGCTGCTGACTGATCAGGGTGGTTGCTGAAGGTTAGGTGGCTGTGGCAATTTCTTAAAATAAGACAGCAGTGAAGTTTGCCGCATTGATTGACTCTTCCATTCATGCGCAATTTCTAAGTAGCTTGCGATGCTATTTGATAGCATTTTACCCACAGTAGAACTTTCAAAATTGGAGTCAGTCCTCTCAAATCCTACCACTGTCCTATCAACTAAGTTCAGGGAGTGTTCTAAATCCTTTGGTGTCGTTTCAACAATCTTCACTCCATTCTTTACCAGGAATAGATTTCATCTCAAGAAACCACTCGTTGCTCAGCCATAAGAAGCAGCTCCTCATCCGTTCAGGTTTTATCATGAGATGCAGCAGTTCAGTCACATCTGCAGGCTTTTCTAATTCTATTGGTATTTCTACCACATCTGCAGTTATTTCCTCCCTCAAAGTCTTCCATGAGTGTTGGAATCCACCTCTTCCAAACTACTGTGAATGTTGATATCCTGAGCTCTTCCCATGAATCACAAATGCTCTTAATGGCATCTAGAATGGTGAATCCTTTCCTGAAGGTTTTCGATTTACTTTGCTCAGATCCATCAGAGGAATCACTATCTATAACCTTATTAAATGTATTTCTTAAATAATAAGACTTAAAAGTTTAAATTATTCAGTGATCCATGGGTGCTGAAATGGATGGTGTGTTAGTAGACATAAAAACAGCATTAATCTTGTTGTACATCCCCATCAGAGTTCTTGGGTGACCAGGTGCACTGTCAATGAGCAGTCATATTTTGAAAGGAACCCCCCCCTTTTTTTTTAACCAGTAGGTCTCACAGTGGGCCTAAAATATTCAGGAAACCATGCTATAAACAGATGAGCTGTCATCTAGACTTTGTTGTTCCATTTATAGAGCACAGGCAGAGTAGATTTAAGGTAATTCTTGAAGGGCCCTAGGATTTTTGAAATGGTGAATGAGCACTGGCTTCACCTTCAAGTCATCAGCTGCATTAGGTCCTAATGAGATAGTCAGCCCATCCTCTGAAGCTTTGAAGCCAGGCATTGACTTCTCTGTCCTAGAAGTTGTGGAAGTCCTAGCTGGCATTGTCTTCTAATAGAAGGCTGTTCCATCTGCACTGAAAATGAGCACTTGCTGCTTCGCCTTGCACCTTTATGTTAGCAGGATGGCTTCTTTCCTTAAACCTCATGAACCAGCCTCTGCTGGCTTCCAACTTTCCTTTTGCAGCATCCTCACCTCTCTCAGCCTTGATAGAATTGAAGAGAGTCAGGGCCTTGCTCTGGATCAGGCTTTGTCTTAAGGGAACGTTGTGGCTGGTTTGATCTGCTTTGCAGACCACTAAAACTTTCTCCATATCAGCAATAAGGCTGTTTTGCTTTTATATCATTCATGTGCTCGCTGGAGTAATACTTTTAATCTCCTTCAAGAACTTATCCTTTGCCTTCACAACTCGGCTGTTTGGCATAAGAGGCCTAGTTTTTGGCCTGTCTCAGCCTTCAACAGGCTTTCCTCAGTAAAGCTTAATCATTTCTAGCTTTTGATTTATAGTGAGAGACATGTGACTCTTCTTTCACTTGAACACTTAGAGACCATTGTACGTTTATTAATTGGCCTCTAATGGTCCGGGGAGCGGTCTGAACACACGCAACATTCATTAAGTTTGTCTTATATGGGTGTGATTCACTGAACCCCAAAACAATTACAGTAGTAAAATCAAAGATCACTGGGCATAGGTCACTGAAACAAATATAATAATAATGAAAAAGTTGGAAATATTGCGAGAATTATCAAAATGTGACGCAGAGACATGCAGTGAGCCAGTGCTGTTGAAGAGAGGTGCTGACAGACTTGCTTCACCTGGGGCTGCTGCAAGCTTCCAATTGTAGAAAACACAACGTGTCTGTGGAGTGAGTACATGAGGTAGGCCTACAAAGGCGCTCACTGCACAGGCTGCCTCTACAACCTTATGAAATAGACACTATCCTCATTTTACTGAGGAGAAACCTGAGGCGCAAGTCTTCCCGAGGTCATGGAAGTACAAACTGCCTCCTCCACTACTGCCACTTATCCCCCACCTACTCTCCGGGCCGCATCTTGCTGTCAGGGTGTGGAAGCAGCCTGCTCTGCTCTTCCCTCTTCTGCACCTGTGTGCATTGTTCATTCAGCCCCCAGCTCTCCCCAACAGTCTTTAGGGTGCCTATGGAACAAGACCAGCCCTCCCACACTCATTAAACCTGCAAGCATTTATTGAGCACCTACTGTACACTTAGAACAGAAAAAGGTGTACCTCCGAAAGTTAACATGTTTTGAGCACTATTTGTGCTAGGCTCAGTTATAAGTGAGCATGAATCATAATATATGGTGAGAAAACTAAGGCAGAAGGAGGTTAAGTAACTTCCCTAAGGTCACTCAGCAAGGTGGTGGAGTTACAGCCCAGCATCTTGTCTTAGATGCTGTTAAAACAGACAGTTCCCCAAGAGATGGCCCAGGGGTGGCTAGGAAAAAGAAGGTGGAGTGTCCTTTCTTGGACCTAAGTTTCATATTAATGAAGCACCTACTTTGTGCTGAGCCCCAAGATTGGCATTTTCACCAATATTCCTCAATGTGTCCCTGCCATCAAGTTTGGGAGGTGTCGTTGCTCCCCTATTGTAGAGAAGTAAACTGAGGCTTTGAAATGGGACATGCACAGGCCAGGATCCCAAGTGCAGGGAGTGGTTTCAGGTGGTCCTCCCTGTGCCTCATTCTTGCCCAGCCCCCTGACCATCACCTGCTCTTCCACCCCTGCTCCACGCTTCCCACCTCAGCACTTGCTCAGCTGCTCTCACTTCCTTTCTGCGCCTCTTGTTGTCGCACTGTCCTGCCTTTACCCCCTGCTGAGTGGCCCACCTTTTATTGCCTTTCTCACTTGACATCTTCTATGAGGCTTCTCAGGCAGAGGAATTTCCTGACAGGCTGCCACGGGCTTGTGCCAAGGGAGGCTCCGGGGAGTCTAGGAGCCAGGCCCAACCTCAGACACCTGTGCTTCAGGGAACACCACACTGGCTGTGTGACCATGGCCGGGAGCACACCCTCTCTGTGCTTCAGCTTCTGGCTCTATAAAATGGCTCAAGGTTCTAAAATCTCTCCTGTTTCTCCAAATCTGACTCTGATGTTGCTGTGCTGGAGATTCAGTTCTCATGAAGAGTAAGATTTAAATAACAGTGCCTGACTATGAGTCCAGCAAGGAGGAAGATGTCCCTTGTATTGGATTGCTCAGGGAAGGCTGAGGAGCTGGGACTTGAGTGGGCAAGGATCAAGATTGGGTGGGGAAGAGAAGGGCAAAGCCAGGATTTTCTCATAGGAATGACTTTCCTTAGCCAGATGCCCACCATCATTTTACTCTGGTCATGTTTAGCCTGCCAGGAGGCAGTACACATTGAAGTACCTCAAGCCAGCTTACCTTAAACTTTGTTAGTTTTTTTTTTAGTTCTTTGTTGGTTCTCTAGATGCCCAACACACTAACTATCCTTGCATCTGAAGGCATGCTCACTCCATTCCTTGGTAAAATTGTATGTTCCCTACCAAGATTTAATATAGTCAGTCAGTGATAGCTCAGGGGAGTATTATGGATGGATGAGGAGTATTGGCTTGCCATTAAGTGTAGGAGTAGAACACATGCTCAAATAGGACAGATTCTGTGTGGCTGAAAACCCAGTGAATCTGTAACTGCTTGCTCAGTGGGAGAACGCTGTCCGGCACCCAGGCACAGCCATCACTCACCCTGCAGTGAGTCCAGTAATGAGCAAACATACCTAGGTTAACTGCCCTGTACTAGACGCTGTATAAACCTCTGAGACAGTATCAGATGGTTTATTTTGGTTTCCAAATGTGCAGCGTGCCCTTTAGGGGAATTCGTGCAGTTTGGAACCTGCTGTGGCAGTATGTCCCTGCCAGGGTAACGCCAAGCCAGAAGGATGACAACTGGTGGGGAAAGGACCCCGTTGTCAGGTGAGCTTGAGAAGCACCGTGGCAAATGAAACCGAACAGGTTCTTTCTCACCAGGGAGGGCTGTTCCGGGAGGGCTAAAGATATAGCATTTTCCCTAACGAGCCCACTTAGCCCTTCTTCACAGAGTAATTTTCATGATCATTTCAGGACTGTTGCTCTATGGCATCTTTTTGGCCTGTGTTTTGAAAGTCAGGTCTCACCAGATTTGTTTAGAACTCTGGGATCTGTCAGCCAAATGGTGAGCTGTCTATCTCAGAGAAGCTGTATTAGAGGCTGTGAGTTCAGTCTGATCATCCTGTGCAAACCTGAACCCTTCTGGAATCTTCCAAGAAAAACACACTGTGATTACATAACTTCTCTCCTGTCCTGCCTCTTCCCCAGTCTTCTTTGGGGCTAATGGTAGGAAGGGTAAAGTGGTGCTCAATAACTCCCATGAGAGATTTCATGGACACTTTTTTTTTAACACCCCTCTCCCAGATTTTGTTGTTCATCAGACTTTGCCCTACCAGTCAGTTTCGGTGGATACTTTCAACTCCAAGAATGATGTGTACGTGGCCATCGCTCAGCCCAGCATGGAGAACTGCATGGTGCTGGAGTGGGACCACATCGAAATGAATTTCCGGAGCTATGACAATATTACAGGTGTGTTGTGGCTTTGATCAGATGTATTGATCTAATTTCATCGTAGCCTAAGCCTGTGAGAGAGAAGCATTCTCTCTCGTAACCAAGGGGGAAGGCTTGGCTCTCTGACTTGGTTAGATTTAAGGAATATATTCCAACCTATCCTCATCTCTCCTATTTTTATCATCTTGGTCTGTAATTGGTGGGCACAGAAACCTGAGGAGGTGATCTATTTATTGTGGAGGATCCTTTTGGAAAGGGGGGGGAATGGGTTGCACACATTGGGAGGCATTTCCAATAGTGGGAAGACATCCCTGAGAATCCCTGGATCCTGAGCAGTTACAGCTGCCTAAGACCACAACAGCTTTTTAGCAGCTAAATGGTACCTTTGACTTTTGTTAAGCTGATTATTAACTAATATACTAACACACACGCACAGATGTGCTCATGCATAGACATGTATGTACATGTGCATGAGCATAGACATGTATGTACATGCACGCACATGCTATAGCATTTTCCTAATGTGCCTTTACCAGCCTTGGGGATCACTGCTTTCTTTTCACAAATACTTAACAATAAATGTCTGCCTGTGTTTAGGTTTTTGGAATAAGACTGAGTTGATGCTTCTTTCAATGTTGACAGGGGATCCTAGTGCTTAGCCTTACCAAGTGCAGTCTGATAATAATACCAACTTTACAAACAGCACCACAGTGGCCTTTTACCCCGTGAGAGGAGTTGCCTTAGTGGTTTCTGATTTGGAGTTAAAGCAGCTACTCACTGTTGCCTTGAGGAGTCTATCTGGGTAGGATTTCCCAACTGGGGGCTCCTAGGAATCTATGGGCACAAAGTGGCTTAGCAGCCAGGGCAGGGACGTAGGGAGACAGCAAGCGGGTCATTCCACCCTCAGGAGCAGAGCTGCTAATGAGCCTAATCTCGCAGCACTGAGGTCTGTGAGATGCACATCCAGAAGTTGTGAAGATGCGATTTCAGACGTGGCTTCATTGCTGTTGGGCCATCTGGCCGCCTGGTGCTGAGCTCACACTCCTGAAAGCAGCCCTCTCGCTCTAAGTGTGGACTCAGCACAGAGCTGTGCAGTGAACCTACCAAGAAGCCGAGGCCTTCGGACCCCACCCCCAGTCCATGTTCAAGGAAAAAGGGAGAGCCGGGGGGAAACTTGCTAGCCACGTGTTTTTCACTTCCCTCTTTTTCCTGACTTGAAAGATAGGAGAGGGCTGAATGAGCTGGCCCCCATGCCTTCTCTCCTCCTTCCTTGTGGTAAAGAGCTCAGAAAACCAGTGAATGTGGATTGTGTCTGACTGCCATGTGCTGAGAAGTAGCTGTGGTCTCTGAGGCTCAGTTTCCTCATCTGTAAAATGGCCAGTATATGTACCACATATGGAAGTTGTGAGGACTTGTTGAGCTCCAGGCACAGAGCAAACAGATCTTAATGCCGGCTGCCTTCTCACACCTTTACAGATGAGGAGATCGAGGCTCAGCCATGTTGAATCACATGTGCACTTTGTACACATATAGAGGTGTACAAAGGTGTTCTGCCCCCCACAAGTAACTCCACTGTTACTTGGGGGGGCAGAACCCAGCATCTGTCCCTGCTACAATCCCCCTTCCATTGCTCAGGTTGACCTTGGTAGAAAGGGGCATCACTGCCCTCCACCTGCCCTTCCAACTTACTGCAGCTGGTTGAATCCTCAAGTTTGTTGACCCATTCATTAATTCATACAGAAAGATTTCTTGAGCACTTATTCTGTGCCAGGCACAGTCTAGGTACTGGGGCCATGGCAGTGCACAAGCTAGATAAAAAGCTTCCTCCTCAAGGACTTTGTATTATAATGGGAAATAAAGACAGTAAGACTGACAGATAATCCTAATACACATAACACATTAGATAGCCTGCTAAGGGAAAAGAAAGCTGATAAACAAGATTTGAAGGGCTGGGCACGAGACGATTGAAATTTTAGATAGTGTCTGGTAAAGGCCTCATTAGGAAGGTATTACTTGATTAGATGTTATGGGATATGAGGGGTTGATACACATTGAAAGCAGGGGGAACAGCATTCCAGACTAAGGAAACAGCAAGTGCAAAGGTCCAGAGGCAGAAAGGTATTTTTTCCATTTGGGTAGTGCAGGGGACCAGTTGGGCTTGAACAAAGTGATCCAGGGGCAAAGGCGTAGGAAACAAAGTTAAAGAGGTAAGAAAGGCTGATCTTGGCATCCTCACAGGTCCTAGGAATGACTTGGACTTCTACTCCAAGTGCTCTACAAAGCCATGGAGGGTTTTGTGCAGAGGTCAGCAGAGCTGGGCAGGAGATGCGTCCAGAGCTTTAGAGTGCAGGGTTGTGTCCAGCTGCTGGTTTGAGAGTAGCCTGTAGGGGTGGGGGGACAAAGATGAAAGTAAGGTGACCAGTTGAGAGGCCGTTGAAAGAATGCAGACAGATGCTGACGGCCTGGACCCAGCAGGGGCCACAGAAGAGGTGGGGAGAAAGTGGTCAGTGAGGCCAGAGTGGGTGTGCTCAGGGCCAGAACCAGGGATGGACCTTGCAAGTTTCTAGGGACTCCTCAGCACCGCACTGTCCAAGTCTCAGTCTTCTGAGAGGTGGGCAGCCTGACATGAAGCCCACCTGGATCCTTTCACAGCCAAGCCCGGGAAAGGAGTTCCAACAGTGTGGTAGTCAAACTTGTGAGCTCCAACATCAGGTGGCTTTTTGATAACCCTGGCTCCAGATCTTTCTTGTTGGTGACCTTAGCCAAGTTAATTTCCATGAGCCCCTTTTATCTGTAAAATGAGAATTTCCTTAATTCCCATTTCATCTGTAAAATAAGATCAACATTGTGCTGGACCATGGGAGTTTAAGGGGGTAATGTGTCTAACACTTAGTGTAGTGCCTGGCATGTAGTAAATGCTCAACAAATGTTAGCTTATCAGCTGGGGATAGAATAGGAGCAGCTCTTCTTCTTGGTTTGTAGACTCTAACTCTTTGATGTCAGTTAAAACCTCTTTACAAGTTTTATAAGCATAGGAGCACAGGGGCCAGCAGAGAATGCCCCAGGGAGGCAGAGGGCTAGGGAGGGCGGTGACAGAAGCAGGGTGGATCTCTCAATGGAGGGAGCAGTGTGGCTAGCTGGAAGTTAGCCTGGTGTGCAGGAAGGCCCTACAGCACACACGAGCCCACAGTGGATAAACAAGGATGCAGCCCTGCAGCCAGTTGTCTTGAACAAGACCAAGGTAAATGTGGCCCCGGGCTCTGCCCCCAGGCAGGCCGGCCTCATTTGTCATCTTGTGTAATCACTGCGCGATCCCAGAGTTGGCAAGGGCTGAGCAGGACTTTTTCAGTCCACGCCTGGTAAGATTAGAGCTCCAAGGAATGAGAGCGCTGCCTGTGTCCTCCCTGGCAGCCTTTGTGAGTGGGGTGTGAGCTCCTGCTGCCCGTTGTCTGCTGGGGGGGATAGAAATCCATGGCCACGTTCATTCGCTCCATGGTTTTACTCCTTACATCTCCTTTTTCCTTCTACATCTCTTCTTAGCTTTCCTGTTTTATTTTGTTTGCCTTTTGATTTCTGCTTGATAAGAATGTTCCAGCACTAAAGTCTCTTCCTACATTAACACACTCACGCTGTGATCTCTGCTGCTACTGACAACTGTGTAGGCTAGAAGTGTTTACATATATAGAGGTGTGCAAAGGTGTTTTGAAGCATCTCCAAGAAAGGGTTTCTTTCTGTTTCACATGGCCCCTTGCCTGAGATGGGCAAACCCATAGGATGCTTCCAGTTACCAGGGACCTCCACAGCTGGGCAGTTCAGGAAAGGGACAGGGAACATCCTCTCTCCATTAGTGCTGGTGGGGGGAGTCAGTGCAGCTTCCAAAGAGCAGTTTGGTAGTTTATACCCAGAAGCCTTAGAAATGTGTACAACATTTTCCCCAGCAATTCCTACATTTAAAAACACTGCCAGATGGTTTTCAAAAAAGATTTCTCTACAGAGACGCATGTTACTCCCAACGAGAAGCTGGAAATAACTGCGACAATAGCTGATTTAGCTGTCCAACGATAGGGGATTAGTTAAACAAAATATGGTGCCCCTGTGCAATGCAAAACTATGCAGTATTAAAAAATAAAGTTGTAGAAGATACTGTAACAGGGGAAAATGTTCACAACATAGCGGTCAAGTGAAAAAAAGTAGGTTACTAAGAGCCCATGTATACTATAAGCACAAATTTATATTTACAAGGCATGTTTGAGTATGTGCATCACTTAATGATTAAAGAAGTATATCAAGATGTTAAATGTTGTTTCAGCATTTGCAGTACAAGTGATTTTGATTTTCTTCTTTGTGCTTTTTGGTATGTTAGTGTTAGAGTGTAGACTTGAGCCAGGCTACCTGGAATTGGCCCCAGGCTGCACCACATACTAGCTGTGAGACCTTGGATAAGTTATTTAATGTCTATGGGCTTCATTTTTACCTTTTATAAAATGAGGCTCATGATGATGAATATGGTAGTACCAGCCTCATAAGGTGGTTGTGAGGATTAAATGAGTTGATACACATAAAGTACTTGGTATAGTGCCTGGTCATTAGTCTATGTTTTATAAGTGTTACCTATCATTATTTTCAAAATTTGTTTTGGTGGACATTGAAAACTTCTGTAGTCAAAAAAAAACCAAAAACAAGGCAATAGTTAGTTTTAACCAAAGCGAAGGGACCAGTATTTTGCAAGAAGGCCAAAGCAGTGAAAGAAAAAAGTAAATACTGCTCTAAAAGCCACCCACTGTCTGCCCCGAAAGTTAATACTAAGGACAGAAATTGGGTAATTATCCTTGTAATTTACAGACCAAATTCACTTTGGTCCAAATTGCCTAGAAAATTAGGGGAAGAAAATAACTTTTAATAAAATGACATAGCTGGAGGGTCAATACTCTTTGAGACAGGGGTGGTCCTATTGCTTGCTGGCTGGAATGAGGAGGTGGCGGGAGGGCCTGGGGGGCTGGGTGCAAGGTGGGAAAGGATGGTAGGAGGGGCCCAGACAGTCCTGTAGGTATTTAGGGAGTCAGCGCCTGCTATGTACACTTGCTAAAGGGTACTGTCAAGACAATTGCTTCAGTTATCCAATGATATCTACTACTTATGGACCACTTCCTGTTTGCAGGTGCTCTGTAAAAACACTAACCGGGCATTTTCTCATTTAGCCTTTACGAGCCCTGGGAGGTCAGTGCTGGTAGGTAGCATCCCTCAGTCTCATTTTCTAGATGAGGAAATCTAAGCACACAGAGTTGAACGTCATAGGGTCAGAAAGTTCATGGCTGTGGGGCTGCATTTCCAACCCTGGGTCACCTGGCAGAGAGTCCTAAGGGTTAAACGCTGCTCTGTTAGGCTGCCTTTGGCTCTGGGTATCAGAAGAGGCCTAATGTCTTCAAGAGCCCATTACATTTTTTTTCTTCTGCCTCTGAGACCTGACCCCTACCTTTTTGCAACCCTCCTTCACCCACCAAGGGAAGAAGCCAATTTAATTGTCTCATTCTTTTCTATGGAGTCGGGAAATAGTTTTTAAATAGTATGAAGAAAATTCATTGGTGCATTGTTGAATTTCCTGAATTGTAATCCTGCCTCTAAAGACACAAGAGGCCCAGATGAACAGCACTTACCTATGTCTATGGTGGCACATTTTGAAAAAGGCTTTGAAAAAATGTTTTTTAGTTGTGGGAAAATAGACATAACATAAAACTTACCATCTTAACCGTATTTACAAGTACTGTTCATTAGTGTTAAGCCCCATTCACATTGTAGTATAGCCAATCTCTTTTCATCTTGAGAAACTGCAACTCTGCACCCATTAAACAACATCTCCCCATTCCCCCTTTCTCCTCAGCCCCTGGCAGCCACCATTCTACTTTCTATGTCTATGAATCTGACTCCTGTAGGTACCTCATATAATAGGAATCCTACTGTATTTGTCCTTCTGTGACCGGCTTATTTCACTTAGGATAATGCCCTCAACACTCATCCATGTTGAAAGTGTGCCAGAACTTCCTTCCTTTTTAGGGCGGGACCATATTCCATCATATCTACACACCACATTTGGTTTATCCATTCATCCATCGGTGGACATTTGGGTGGCTCCTACCTTTTGGCTACTATGAAAAATGCTGCTATGAACTTGGGTGTACAACTATCTCTTCTTGACCCTGCTTTCAATTCTTCTGGGTCCAGACCCAGAAGTGGAATTGCTGGATCATATGGTAATTCTGTTTAATTTTTCAAGAATCTGCCATACTGTGTCCCGTAGTGGCTGCTTCACTTTACGTTTCTCACTGGCAGTTCACATGGGTTCCAGTTTCCCTGCTGAGGAGGATTTTGCACTGTGGCTGCCCTAAAATTCCCTCTCCTTTCTTCTGGGGCACAGGTCAGTCCGTCGTGGGCTGTAAGGCCATCCTCATCGACGACCAGGTTTTCGTGGTGGTGGCCCAGCTCTTTGGGGGCTCTCACATTTACAAATACGACGAGAGCTGGACCAAGTTTGTCAAATTCCAAGACATAGAAGTCTCTCGCATTTCCAAGCCCAACGACATTGAGCTGTTTCAGATCGAGGACGAGACGTTCTTCGTCATCGCGGACAGCTCTAAAGCTGGCCTGTCAACAGTTTACAAATGGAACAGCAAAGGATTCTACTCATACCAGTCTCTGCACGAGTGGTTCAGGGACACGGATGCAGAGTTCGTTGATATAGATGGGAAATCGCATCTGATCCTGTCTAGCCGCTCCCAGGTGCCCATTGTCCTCCAGTGGAGTAAAAGCTCTAAGAAGTTTGTCCCCCACAGTGACATCCCCCACATGGAGGACGTGCTGGCTGTGAAGAGCTTCAGAATGCAGAATGCCCTCTACCTCTCCCTCACCCGCTTCATTGGGGACTCCAGGGTCATGCGGTGGGATAGTAAGCAGTTTGTAGAGGTCCAGGCACTTCCATCCCGGGGGGCCATGACCCTACAGCCCTTTTCTTTTAAAGATAATCACTACCTGGCCCTGGGGAGTGACTACACGTTCTCCCAGATATATCAGTGGGATAAAGAGAAGCAGCTGTTTAAAAAATTTAAGGAGATTTATGTGCAGGCGCCTCGTTCCTTCACAGCTGTCTCCACTGACAGGAGAGATTTCTTCTTTGCATCGAGTTTCAAAGGGAAAACAAAGATTTTTGAACACATAGTCGTTGACTTAAGTTTGTGAAGGTGTGCTTGGTGAATTTAAAAGACACATAGTGCTAGCTCTCATGTGAGAGAACCAAGGAAAGAATATAAAGAGAAGCCAAGTTCAGAGCCCTGAAGTTTAAAATGCTCTAGGGAAATAGTTAAAGTTGTCAAAATTTTAGAGCTCACATTTTAATCAGGGATTGCATTTATTGGCTAACTGCATGACATGTCTGTTCTCCCATTTAAAAAGACATCTTGAAGCCTGTAATTACTGAGAAAAGAGTACAGTATTAACTCTGACCATCTAGGAAAGTAATGTGCTTTTTTTTTTTTTAATGAGGAAGGAGAAAATCAGACAAGGTGGGATAGCTCCTATTGTGAAAAACAAACTATGGGTCCCTCATTCCATTTTAGCAATCTTTTTGGTAAAAACACTTAAAGCAAAGTCAGCTGAAAAGATGCTGATTAGTTTAAAAAGCTGGTAACACTCGGCAGTGCTATTTGGGGTCTCTTGAATCCCCCTTAATACAGAAACTTGGCTATTTCATTGGTTCACCTGGATGTTTGTCACAGGGTATCACAAAATCATGTTTGACATTGCTTCCTGTGCCACAAAGAAAGTGCTCTGCTGACACATGGCTGGGCCCAGCATGGGCTGTAGGTCCAGGACTGAGATAAAGGCATTTTCCCCTCTTCCTTCTGGTTCAAAGCTGACCCTTGTGGTGGCCAGAGCAATATTGCTTGTTTGATGCCCCCCATGACTCGCCTGCCTCTCTGAACCCATCCTTTGAGTTTGTGAGTAACCAGCAGACAGGCCAAAGACTGAATGGTGCTTTCTAGTTCATCCTTTAGAGCAAAAGAACAGGTGTCTCCATCTGATGAGCATTTGGTAGAATTCCTGAAGGTTTTGCAGAGTCAAAAGTACTTTATGCAAGTCTCAGAGTACCTTAAAACCTAGATAAGGCTCTTTGATTTATTCATGTGTTTGCCCTCTGGGCAAGTTGATGTTTCTAGTAATTGAGCACCGACCTACCTATGTGTCCCCCTCTCTGCTCATATGACAGTCCTGCTTTGTTGATTTGCTGGTATTGCTGCTGCAGCACCAAATTGTTGAACCCAGGGTACCAAAGAGAGCAATGCTCCTTCCCCTCCAGTACTTCAGTAATGGAAAACCCCAGGGGCCTGCATGCTCGCCTGGGGCCACATATTGGCAGGGGGGCTGGGGTGGTTCATCACAGGCTGGAGGTCTCAGGTTGAGCAGTAGGGACCAGCTTTGGAGCCAGACACAGTGAAACCTCCAGACCAGGTCTGCCCTCAGGGTCCCAGACGGCCTGTTTCAAAATGAGCCTTTGGTGTGGAGCATCAGGAAGCTCGTGGGTTCTGGCTGGTGGGAAGGTCCAGATGGGTGCTTTGCCCGGTTAGCCGGTTCTTCAGAGAAAACGAAGTGGATGTCAGGAGAGGCTCTGAACGAGTAAGCCAACAACTTCGCTTGTAGCCACGCAGGTAGCGCAATCACATTGTACTGTATTCTTATTTCTTAATGGTTGTTTGCCAAGTCATGAGTAGGCAGATGTTTCACCACAGATAAGAATGTGTTGTTGTTTCTTGACTTTAAGCGATGCAGATGGAGGCAATAAACAACAGCGATGTCACAACAGCGCTCTTAGTACCTTCTGGGTCTGCAGGCTGAGGGCGTGGGGCTTTTCGTGAACTAATGCCCATGCGCAGTAGCGTTGCTCCTTGCGTCCTTCCTACGGGGCACCGACCCAACGGGAGAAAAGTGGTTTGCTTTCATTTTTCTTGCACAAAATCACTCTTCTGCATTCTTTGCCTTTCTGGTGTATTCAAATTGACTACCAGTGCCCAGTTCCCCACATCGGAGGCTGAAAGCAGGGCAGCTCTGCTACGGGGAACCCCTCAGACAAGCCGGGACAGAAAAATGGGCCCTTTTTTGCTGATTAGTTTAAAAACCTGGCAACATTTGGCAGTGTTAAAAAGTACCCACCCCACCCCTGGGCAGCAAGGCACACGTTTGGACAGTCCCAGCTCTTGTGCCAGGCCGAAATGGTGTTCCCGATTCCGGCCGCTTGTAGGGAAGGCACCTGGGGCTTCTTTTCACGGCGCTGCCTCCTCGGAGCAGTGAACCCACTGCCCGGCTTCACCTCCAAGGGTGCAGTTCGGCGCTGACCGTGCATCCACGGTGCTGGCGACCCCTGCCGGGAATCTGGACAGCCAGGAAGCCCAGGGTGTGGGCTGGGGAGGGGACTCGCTGGGTCCAGAGAAGACACCGGAGGCAGAAGGAAAGACCTAGACACTGGCGGCGGGGGGCTGGGGATGAGGGCGGCAGCGTGGGTTATCCACTCAGCTGCCGTCAGCTTCTCTTCTTAAAAAAATTTAAACAGGTGAGTCTGCAATCTACAGAATCCCCGTGCTGAGGGAGGAAGTATTTGTTCTGGTCGACTTAAGAAAGAAGCGTAGATGTTATTGGTGCGCGGTGGCGGAAACTTTGCTTCATTCATCTTACTGCTGTAGCCCAAGAATCCCCCAAGTTTTAAACAATTTCTGCAAGAAGCTTTTTCCCAGTAATCACGTAACACAGAAAACCAAACAGCAACAACAAAAAGCCACAGCTGAGAGATTCGGACCGTCCGCGTGATTTGGGTGGGTCTGCCCGTGCCACTTCATTGCTTCCCTCACCCGGTCGGTTAACCATCTTCTCAGATTGTTTCTTCTTTATCGTCTCTGTGGCGAGTCTCCCATACTGAGTCCCTCCATGTAGCCATGTGTCCACACCACACAGCCTTAAAGCAAGGACTTGCCCCCAAACTCCATGGGGCCAAGAGTAGATCTTTTAGGAAGACTCTAGAAACAAGCCTTAGGTATGTTCTTGGGCAATAGATAAGACCACCCTGCATCTGACAAAGCTTTATATTTCCTCAATGTAGTTTGTGTTTATCTCACCTGTTCATAAATAGTTCTTCAGTTTATTGGCAGGCGGTTTATTGAAATAGACGCAGAAAACCTAAGTCAGTTACCTGCTCAGGATTACCCACCCAGCTGTGAGTCAAAGCTAGAAGTGTGTCTCTGAATAGCAGCAGGCTTTGGGTTTTCTTTCTGTGACACTCTGCTATACCCTTCAAATAAAAACTTTGTATCATGATTTTGAATATAGCAGCACTTTGAGATAGAATTAAAAAATGCAACAAAATATACATAGCTAGAAGGAAAATGGTGCTGAACAGATGCCATTCAATCAAGTGATCCATTGAACAAACACTATGGAGCTGCTATGACATGGGAGGCCCACTCTTGAAAGTCTTCCAGAAGTTTCTGATCTTTTTCTGTTCTAAAGATCGTTTCTAGCCAGCACAGTTGTTTCTCCCCCAACATAGCTATGGGAAGGATATTTAGGTTGGGACACATCTGGTTGTTGTCACGATGTCCCCAAGGTAAGCGAGAAGAGTTCTGTGAGGGAAAAACGAAAATCTCGAGTGTACAGATGATGATGAATTGCTCCCAGTCATAATCAGCCTTTGGGGAGCAGGCTGGAAACGCCAGTATTGCAGTTTTCTTCCCCAGTGGGTGAGAGGCTGTGTATTTTTAGTAAAGAAATCAGCGTGGGTTGCTGGAAGTTCGGCTGCCAGGAACACTCACGATGGATATTCCTCTGACCCGGGTATGAGAGATGAAGGTCTGCAGGAGGGGAAGGTCTATTTGCATGCCACCTAAAGAATATCTCCTTAGCAGGTTTCCTGATTCTTCTGCAGAGGTATCAGCCTCTCACTTGCAGTTTTGGATGAGAGTTCTTTCATTAGGGAGTGGCCAAAGATTCTGTTAAGCAGAGCTCGGGAGGGGAATGTAGTAATCTAATTGTTGACACAGTGAATAAGGTGGTACAGACTTGAGGACAATCAATGTAAAGGAAATGGGCAGAAAAGCTGGGCAGATGGCTGTGTGAGAAACTCTTTGGGGAAAGTGGAAATAAACTGGAAGAATAGAAAAAGTCATAAGAATTTCCTTGATCTCAGCCAGGCAAGTAGCAGATGGAACAACCAGCAAATTATTAGCATCCCAGCTATTAATGAAGAGAGCCAATTGTAATACTAATTAAAATAAGAATTATATGTAAAGCTACTGAAATCTCAACCGAGGCACTCTTATCCTTACATTATTACATTGCTTGTATCAGAATCTACTTTTTTTCTAGTAGGAAACTATACATTCCCTATCAATCCATTTGACTATCAGGAACATATAAGAACTGTGATCACCTAGGCCAGTATGCCATTTGGTACCATTTTTATGTATTTTAAATGCATAACTTAGGTAAAACAAGAATAGTTTATATGTATATGACAGAAAATTTTGCAGTATGGATGCATTTTAAGGCCGAACATCTATTTAGCTCTTTTTGGTAAATACAGGTAGCAAATGATATGCTTCTTAATACAATATATTCTGTAAGCCTATGAATAAAAATTAGCTCATGCCTAATATGGCTTTGATCTCTTTTCTGTGTGATATGGGTATGTCCACTTGAGTCATAGAATTCGAGGGACACTCACAGTGGGCTACTGAGGAAGGGAAGGATGTGTGCCCATTTATCTTAAATGGCTTACTCCCTATAAAATGGAAGAGGGGCACCACCGGGGCCTTTTCCTTCTACTTACAAACTAAAACATCACTGAAGAACACCTTACAGTTATACTTCTTGATCTCCCTGATCTTGACAGATTGACCAAGAACTCCAGGAATCTTTGGGTATCTTCTGATTCTGCATGCTAAGGAGGAGACAAGATTACAGAATCTCATTGGTTGTGTTGAACTGTGAACAACTTGAAAGCCAGATTTTTGACATGTTCTCTGCAGGCTGGCATCTAACCTAGCACACAGTAGGCATGCATGGGAAAGTTTGCTGCACATCTGTATATCTTTAATCTAGATCCATGTGGTTTAGTTGGACAGATGAAGGGTAAAAACTCAAATCACGTGACTGTGTCCTACTGTGTGTCAAGGACTTTCATGCACTGTGGAACTTGTTAAAAAGTCAACAGAGTTCTTGCCCTATGGGACTTAGAATATAGTTAAGAGGAAAAGTCATGACTGCATGAAGACAGAAGTACAACAGAAGGTCTAAGTAACATTCTGCATCACAGAGCAGTGCATGACTAATTGTGCAATGAAAGAAATGGGTAGGATCAATAATCAAGTATTTAGCTACTGGTATGGCATGTACAGTGAATTAGTTTTCTATTCCTATGTAACAAATAACCACAAATATAGTGGCTTAAAAAAAAACTGTTTATTAGTTCACAGTTCCCATGGATCCGGAGTCCCATCCAGGTTAGCTGGGTCCTCTGCTTAGGGTCTCAAGGCTCCAATGAAGACAGGGTTCTCATTGGGAAGCTCAACCAAGGAAATACCTGCTTTCAAGCTCATTCAGGTAGTTGGCAGAATTCCTTTCCTATGATTATAAGGCAAAGGGTTTTCTTGATGGCGGTTGGTTCTCCAGGGGTGCACACAGCTCCATGCCAGTGGCCCTCTCCATAGGTCCTCTCAGACTTAAATGTTGGCTTTTTCGAGGTCATCAGGGGGCACAGCTGTGATATCCCATCCCCTTTGCTCTACTCCATTAGTTTGAAGCAGGTCACAGGTCCTGTCTTCACTCAACGGCAGGGGATTATAAAGCATGTGACTCATGGGTGCTGTTGGCGGGGAGGTGGGTGTCACCTTATGGTGTGTCTACCACAGACACTAACCAAACAGAAGAGATACACAGCTGATCAGAATAGATACTAACCATAAGCATCCATTCGTCTGGGCCCAGTGCATTCCTGTGGAATGTGAGCTGGAGCACAGATAATATGGACCTAGGAGAAAGGGTTGCTTCAGGTCAGGGCAAGTACTCTTGACCAGGACTGGAGAAGGACCTGCTTCCTTTTCACTATGGTTTTACCTTTAAGTCTTTGTTTTCTGTTTGTGGAGAAGTACAGAAAAAATTGAATTTTTCCAAACCTGCAAGGCAGAAGCTCATTAATCCCAATAGTTCAGTGCATTTCATCTTGGAAATAAAATACTCTGGGTAAACTGCCCAGTCCTGACCATGTACCCATTAGTAAGGCAAGCACCTTTATTTTCTCTCTCTCAGAGAGCCAACTGAGGGCTAACTGTCTGAGAATAATTGGAGGCATGAGTAATGTGTCACTTTCATTGATCACCTGTTCTTACAATTGGCTTTTATGCCTGCCTCCCAGATGGGACAGCCCTTTACTAACCAGGGCCTAATTGGCACAAATGACTTTTTTCAACAAATTCCTAGCAGAGCTGAGACTGAAGGCCTGAGACTGAACTGCTCCAAGGGAGCCTTTTGTTCAACCTGAGCTTCTCCTATCTTCAGCCAGACAATGAGCCAACACAGCCCAGGAAGAGAGGCCCACAGTAAGGGAAGGGCTACCCCCAAAGAACCAGCACCTTCTGGAATCTACACCTGAGCCCTGAAGGGCATCCTGCTGCATAGACTTTCGGGTGCCAACTCCAGGAAGTCTCCTGGAAACCAAGCACAGATCCTTCATCTTGTCAGAAATAATTGTCAGGGCAGAGAGAAACCTGCCTAGACTCCCAGACCCCACCTCACCCCACCCACCATCCCCAGAAA